GAATGTATCCAGCTCAGGTTACCTAAAGACATAGGGTAAGGTATGTATCCTCTGCTGGGCCCATCCTGATCACAACTGTCACAGAGCAGAGTTTTTGGGGAGAAACAAAGATGGCTTTCTGCGAGAGGAGCCATGTGATGAGCAGAGCCATGGGCCTCCAGGGGGATGGGGGCAGAGGTCAGTGAGAACTGGAAGCCAGCAGGGCCCTGTCTCCATCCCCGCCACGGACACACAAGCTAGAGCACCAGAGCCACCAGGGTATTCTGCTGTGGGCCACAAGGAGGAGGCCTCCTTGTGACCTCATTTACCTGGTCCAAAGGAGGCCAGCACCTGTTGGCTGTGAGCCAACCAATTTGAAATACATCACTAGTTGCTGGGCAGACTCTAGCCCACCAGGAAGGAAGCCCCTCACCCAGGTATGTGATGCCAGTCACGTAGGCAGAGGGAGCAGGTTTCCCCCCTCCCTCAGGAATGTATCCAGCTCAGGTTACCTAAAGACATAGGGTAAGGTATGTATCCTCTGCTGGGCCCATCCTGATCACAACTGTCACAGAGCAGAGTTTTTGGGGAGAAACAAAGATGGCTTTCTGCGAGAGGAGCCATGTGATGAGCAGAGCCATGGGCCTCCAGGGGGATGGGGGCAGAGGTCAGTGAGAACTGGAAGCCAGCAGGGCCCTGTCTCCATCCCCGCCACGGACACACAAGCTAGAGCACCAGAGCCACCAGGGTATTCTGCTGTGGGCCACAAGGAGGAGGCCTCAGGCCACCTTGCGGTGCCGGTAGCACCTGCTGAGCCAGGACCCAGCCTTCACCTCTTGCTCCTCTGGGGTCAGACTCCTCTGGGTGGTACTGGGGGTCTCCAGCCGGGTGCTGTGAATCAGCTCCCCAGGGGAGGATTTATTCTAAAGCCAGGCTCTGCCTGGCCATAGCTGATGCCACCAAATCCCAAGGCCAGGACCCAGTGCCCCAGTGGGCTGATGCACCACTCCTGCCTTCCCCTGCAGAAGGGGACTGGAAGGAAATGCTTGCAGCCTCAAATTCCTCCTCTGGGGTCTTTTGCTGGAGCCGGGGCTCCCTCCTGCCATCTGGTCCTGCTTCCCCTGCTGGGTGAGTGCTGGGAGCTGTCCAGCTCATGGCCTGGGGACCCACATGTCTGGGCAGGTCTTGCCCTCCTGCAGGGAAGGCCTCACGCCACAGCCTCCCCTGGCACCAAGTAGTGGAGGCAGCTACCACTGGTCCCCACCAGCCTTAAGGATAGGACCTCACCCTCCTACAAGCTCCTGCCTATCTCCACCTCCACTGGATCTTCCCCAGCTTGCAGGCGCCTGACTTGGGGGTGCAGGTGGGCTCACTCTCCCAATACCACCTCCCTGAAGGGTGTGGGAGCTCAGCCTTGCACCCCCGGCCTAGCAGCCAGCTCCCCTGCAACAGGTCTTGCCTATCTTGGTGCAGAGCCAGGGATGAGCTCCATCTTGGCCTTTCCCTGCACCTGGCATATGCCACGCCGTGGTGTAACTGCTGTGCTTCCTCATGGGTCCAGGCTCCAGTGCACTTGCTGCTCAAGCCAAGGGGGCCTGAACTGGGTGTGCACAGCCCCACCCAGAAGCCTTGGCTCCCTTGTTCCTCCCAGCCCTGCTAGTAAATGGAGTCCAGCTCTGGATGAGACCTTACTCACCCACCTGCCTCCCAGATTCCCCACTTTCTCCCCCTCTCACCCCAATGACCCCTTTCCAGCCCCCAGCCTGGAAGGAATGCAGTGGGGTGAGTCATTGCAGGTTGTCGTCCCCCGCACTCAGGCCTAGCAGCGCAGCACAACAATGAGGGAACTGAGGGAAGTCACACCACCACGGGAAGTGGATATAGCTGTGGTGGGAGCTGAGGCTGGTGCAGAAGCTCAAAGCAGTGGGGCTGCCAGACAGCGCCTCCTGCCCTGGCACTTCCTCTCCTCATCCTGGTCAGGAAACATGAGAGCAACTGAACTGGCAGTTGCTGTGAACTTCAGGGCCCTGTGAGCCTTGCTTCCTGGAGCATGCTGCCTCTTCTCTCCCTCCTTTTCCTTGCTGGGATAAGTCCCACCATTGTGAGATGCAGCTGTCTCTGGAGGAGGGGCTGCTTCTATCCAGCCCTTCCCTGGGCTGAGAAGCAGCTGCCTCTGGGGTAAGGCACTTCCATAGGAATCCCTCAGGTGGCCGGAGATGCAGTTGCCCTGGCCCAGCCTCTCTGTGCCCTCCCCAGCATGCTGGGTGGCCATGGTGTTTGCCTGCCAGCCTCCTGCTGCCCTGGAGTTCCCACTGCTGTTGGTTTGCTGGGTCAACGGCTTCTACCTGTGGCCCATCCATGAGGCCTGGATGCAGGATGGCCAAGAGGTTCCTCTTCAGCATGCTCTTGCCCAACACTGACCTGAAGTACCAGCTGTGCAGTATCCTGGCTGTGGACCCAGGTGCTGAGCACCACTATGTCAGCAGCCTGGAGCCACAGCGTGGTCGTGCTCTGGGGTAGGTGCTGGGTGTAGCTGGGTGTGGGACGATGCCCTCAGTGATGGAGAAGGGACAGACCCCCTGGAGCCAGCTGCTGCCACTTGTGGCTTGGATGTGGCAGACTCCCCCTCAAGGTCTCAGCTGTGGGGCACTGCGGGGGATGGAGGTTGCAGGGAGGGGTCATTTAGACTGTGGAGCTGGTGAGGGCAGGATGGGCAGCCCAGACACCTGTGTTCCTTCTATGCTTAATGGGGGAGCAGAGACAGCAGCCAAGAGGAGCAGAGGCAGGTGATGTGGCTCCATTGCAAGCTTCCCCATGTACCAGTTGCAAGGGCAAGGGCTCTCCAGTGGCAGAAGTATTAACCCCTGGCCCTGCTTCCATTTCCATTATCCCTGGATTCGCCTGCCACACGTTGGTCTTATGTAATAGAATGGGATGAAAGGGAATGTACTTGGCCTAGTCACATCCGTCACTCCTGGGTTTGCAGCTGCTTGCGGTCTGCCGGCCATTGCATCTCCTGTCTGATGAGGGGGGTTTCTGGTGTTGTTCTACTCCATAGTTTCCCTGGTGCTTCAAATGTAGTGCACATGGCTCCACCAGCCTCTCTGAGAGTTCTGCCTTTCCCCTTGTGACTGCCTTGGGCTGTTGCATGCTGTGTTTCCCCCAGCTGTTCCTTGTTCACAACCTGATCCAGCTGTCTTCCTTATATGCAACCAAGGGCAGGCTGCCTGGAAGGGCTTTTCTGTACACTGTGTTGTCTTGTAAAGGGTCCTATGCCCAACTTCCTGATACACCTCCACTTTTAGGGCCTGGAGGGCACCAGGATGTGAGCCTGGACATGGGCATTGTGGTATCCCTTCTGGCTGCAGCAGGTGTGGCCACCGTTTTGTGGTGGAGGAGATGCTGTGAGTTCCTTTCCCTCTGCTGGGGAACAAGGGGATGGTGTCTCCAGTCCTCCTGAGCTCACCACTCTCTGTTTCTCCTTGCGGGGTCTGCCCAGCCAGCAGAGAGGAGCAGCCCAGGGCTCTAGCTTCCCCCAGGGTCTTCAGTAGCTTTGGATCTCAAACTGAGCAAGACCAGCCAGGCCCAACAACCTAGGGTCTGTGGGGAAGGGGTTGGGCAGGCTAGGAGTCCAGACATCCGGGTTCCATACAAGCTCGGTGGGGGATGAGGTCAGGAGGGTCTGGCAGGAGTTAGAGTAGGGTTGGGCTGGGAGCCAGGATGCCTGGGTTCCCTCCTGGGATGGGGATGAGAATGGGAGGGTGGTGGGGGCTGGCAGCCTGCACCCCTCGGTTGTCTCCCAGGCTTTGGAGGGGAGTTGGGGCTGGAAGTCGGGACACCTGCATTCCCTCCCAGCTGAGGTTCCCAAAATAAAACCCTTGGGATCAATGCAGACTCCTCCTCATTTCTTCCCAAGCTCTGCTACTGGGTAGGGGTGGGGCTAGACCCTAAAGACCTCCTGGGGCTGTAGTGGGGTGCTGCAGGGGGGTACGTGTGCCTATACTGCTCCATGTTAGTCCAGGGGGCAAAACTGTGCTCCACATTCTGGGGGTTTATTTTATGGTTTTATTTTATGGGAGACCGAGTTTCTGCACTGCCGGTGTGTGTTTGTGGGGCCTCTGGGTCATGAAACAGTGCCAAGGGAAGCTATCCACTGCTTTATAACACACATGAAATGGCCATTGGAGAAAGGAGAGACTCCTTTCTTTTCTCCTTTCGTGGACTCTCCATCTCATCTTCACATTGCTGGCAGAGCCTCAGCCAAAGACCTGGAGACAAGTCACGTCATCCTGGGTCAGCTTATGTCCTGGTACCTCCTGCAAGGATAGATCCCACCATGAGTGCTGGGCCATGGGGAGAATGGGGAAACCCCTTCCTCTGTGAATCAGGAGAGGAGGGGGAGAAGGATGGAAGACAGCTCACCTGCGTCTCCACTGCAAGTATGCCATGGCTACCACCAGCATGACCACGATGAGAAGTGTCACCAAGATTCCCACTGTCACTTTGGTTTTCCAGGGGCTTCTGCTTTCTGGAAGGCAGAGTGAAGGGAGCAAGAATCCTCCATTGCATGGTCCTGTCTGTCTCCCTGTCCTAGTCCCTGCCCTTCCCCTTGTGGGGCTGGAAGCCAGGATGCCTGGTTTCCCTCCTGGATTGGGGATGGGAGTTGGGATTGGTGAGTAGTAGCAGTGGGGGTTGGGAACCTGGGTTCTCTCCTGTCTTGCTCTGGAGGAGCTGGTTGAGGAGGTAATGAGAGGCCTCATCATCTGTCCCTGGAACACTGGGGGCAGGCAGCAACATCAAGGGGAAAGAGCAGCTTTGCAGCAAGCCAGGAGAGCTCTCCAGCAGAGTTGCAGAGGCATGCTGGCATCAAAGGCTGCTGGCATGCACAGGTAAAGCTGAGGCTTGGAGCCCTCTGAGCTGGGAGAAGACCATGGGGACTTTTGGCCGAGGTGGGATTGGGCTGCCTCTCACTGAGGATGCTGTCTCCATGGATGTGCCAGTGCATGGCCTCAGCCCCTGAGTGGGGAACCTACTACACACAAGCCAGGCACATGAGGGTAGGGGCCTGGAGCTGGCCACAGGCAGCAGCTGATGCCTCCAGAGGGATCTGTCCTGTTCCCAGTGCTGAGAGCATCCCCCCATCTCCCAATGCCCAGCACTGCCCTGCACCTACCCCAGGGTATGACGAGGCTGTGGCCCCCCAGGCTGCTGTGCTCCACATGACAGGCATAGCGGTGCCCAGCACCTGGGTCCACGGCCAGGACAACGCGCAGCTGGTAGGTCAGGTCTGTGTTGGGTAGGAGGCCAGTGGAGTTGATCCCCAGGCCTGGAGGCAACTCCTCACCATCCCGTAGCCAGGCCACATGGATGAGACGTGGGTAGAAGCCAGTGACCCGGCAAACCAGCAGCAGTGGGAGCTCTGAGGCAACAGGAGGCTGCTGGGCAAACACCACGGCCACCGGGCGTTCTGGGGATGGCAGAGGGGCCGGGTCAGGGCATCTGTGGCCCTAAAGACAGGAAGTGCCTCACCTCAGGAGCAGGTGCTTCTTGGCTGAGGCAAGAGCTGTATAGAAGCATCCACTGCCCCCTCCCACAGAGGCAGCTGGATATCGGGGTGTGGGGTGTGGGGGGTGTGTGGAAAGAACGGGGGAGATGGGGGCTGCATCCCAGCAGCATGGCCTCACCCTGCCTCTCCAGCACCTCCTTCCCATTGCGGAGCAGAATCTGCAGGGGTGGTTGAGTAAGTTTTCCAGTGTGTCAGCTGTGCCCTTGTCACGGTTCAGGCTGTCCCGCACATGAAGCGCCAGCTTGTCCTGCCGCTGAGCTACCCACTTGCCTGAGGAGAAGCTAACCAGGTCCTCACCCCCGAGGCTGGCGTTGTAAGCCCCCCGTGATGCACCGCTGGGCAGGAGCTCACAGCCCACAGAGCACTGGGTCACGAAGGGGTCTGGGAATGGGATAGGGGGTGAGCACGGGAGAGGAGAAGGAGGGGGAGGGGAAGAAGAGGGAAGGGATCCCTGCATGGTACTCACAGCGTAAGCCCTCCTGCTGTACCCACACATTGACCTGGTGGATGAAGTTGGCCAGGTACAGGTGGATCAGCAGCTCCAGGTCATGCCAGTGCTCAGGGCTGATGGCGCTCTGGGCCCAGGGCTGGAGGAAGCGGATGGGGCAGGTAGCGCAGTCCAGGGTGTGGGTCTCCACGTCCCACACCAGTGCCAGCCCCCACACTTCTGCCTTGCCAGGTTCCTGGAAGATGATGGTCTGCTGCAGATGCAGGCTGCCAGATCCTGTAGGCACTGGTGGGGAGGCTGCCAGGTGTGGGGGAGAGACCTAGGTGAGGGGTTTCCTGCCCTAACCTCAAGCATGGAGTGCAGGCCCCTCAAACTGGGGTAGAGCTGTGTGCACCCCACAGGACTTCCAAGATGGCTCCTTCCCATTGGCAGACCCCACAGCATGGGGGAACATTAGCCCTGCTCCATGTCATCCTCCAGCTCCCTCTCCTTCTTCCATGCTGCAGCCTTTTTGCTGCTTCTAGGCATATCATGCCCATTCCCAAGCGCTGTGGCCTTATAACTCCAGCTGAACACATGAATGCAGGGATGGACATGTTAACTCATGTAAATGTGAGCTCTGTGGGTAGGTGGAGGGAGTAGAAACTCAGCTGCATTTGAGCTCCATGTTGTAAATCATTTTCATAGAGAAGAGGGGCTGGAAGGGACCTGCAGAGGCAGCATCTAGCCCAGCCCCTGTTATGCATCACATCAGCCTAAGGGTGCAACAATAGAGATTTTGGGGGCTGAAACCAATTGCCAGTTTTTAAGGAGGCATATTAGCTGCTACTGATCTGATTTCTGATACAGCTGCATCCAGCTGGTAAGTCTGTTGTGGTGGGGAGCGGGGTGGAGATCAATGCCCCCTGCAGTGAGGGGGGAATGGGGCTGGGGTAGCCATTGCTCAGCTGGGGCAGGGCGAGTGGGGATGGAGCCGCAGCTTGTCTGAGGGGTGTGGGGTGGCTGCTCCTGTCACTGTGTGCTGCTTATCTGGGAGCCACTCATCTGGCACTGGTCTGCTCATCCAGTGACTCCCATTGTGGCTGCTGCCCTCCCATTGGGGCTGCTGCCGCTTCTCGCACCACTCATCCAGAAGGGCATGGGGGAGGGAGGTGGGGGGGGGCACGTGTGCCCCTGGATCTGTGCAGAGCGGGGCTGGTCAGGCAGGCTGCAGCTGTGGGCTGGGGCTGGGCTGCGCTCAGGGTGGGTGGTCCTGGTGCTGGGAAGATGGCTATGGTATCCAGCAACACTCACCCAGCCAGGATCCACCCCCAACCTCTTGCTCCTCTGGGGTCAGACCCCATTGGGTGGCACTTGGGGGGCGGGCTGCAGCCACCCTAAATTTCACCATAGCCCCCCTGTAGCACCCTCCCAGCACCGCCGTCACCTGCTCCGACTGCAGCCCTGACCCAGCCCACAGCTGTAGCCCACTCAGCCCACCCTGCACAGATCCAGGGGCACACATCCCTCCTGGATGAATGGAAGGAGCGGGGGCGGGAGCCACTGGACAAGTGGCTCCTGGACAGATGAGTGGCTCCTGGACAAGTGGCATGCAGCAGCGGGAGCTTCCCCACCCCCTCCCCGTGCCCCCCGGACAAGCCATGGCTCCATCCCATGCCCACCCTTGCTTGGCTGGGCAGCGCCTACCCCAGCCTCACCCCACTCCCTCCTTCACCATGGGGTGGGGTGAACTGCCCCCACACACCCCTTCCTTCCCCACTCCCCTTTCACCACAACAGACTTACCAGCTGCACACAGCTCTCCATGCTGCTGGGCTGTGCTCCTCACTGCTTGCGTGCTGCGCTATGGGTGCGTGCATGCATGGCATTTATCAGCCAAATGATCAGTCACTTCAGTCCAATTTCCGATATAGTCAATTTTCTTTATACCGGTACTGATCTGATATCAGCTTGATGTATTGGTGCACCTCTACATTAGCCACCTCTCTATCCAAACCATCCCAGACAAACCCACTGGGTGTGGAGAGAAATGTCAATTTTTGCCTGATCTGGATACAGAAAGCAGTTTATAGCCCTGACCAAACACAAGTTCATGGCTGTAGACAGTTTAAAATATGGCCAATCTCATAAAAATCTGACCCCTCATTGAATGAGGTATCGGATAAAGACATTTCAAAATGTAGCGTCTTCCGTAACTTGTACCTGGGAGCCCCCAGGCTGTCACTGTTTTCAGAGTGGGAGGAGGGAAAGGGAGTGTAGTGAGTTCAGTTTGGGGGTTTTAACTCCAATTCACTTCCCCCCCCCCCTTCAGCACCAGCTGGAGAGCCCCAAGAATAAGCTCCCTCCATTGCCTTTCCCCCTTCCCATTCTGAGAACAGGGTCCACTGGCATTGAGCCTGGCCATTGCTATGGGACCCTAGCTGCAGGCTCCCAGCCCAAAGTGACATTCCCCTTCCCCTGGAACCAACCATGAATTTCTGTTTGGTTTGGGGTAATGTTGTAACTCCGAACACACTGCAGAAATTGGTCTGAGTTACAGCTGGGAGCTGCACTTCTGTCTGCATCCACTGTCTAACTGTAGGTAAGGGGCTGTCAGTCCTCGCACAGCACAGACCTCACACCCTGATGTGATACAAGAGAGTGAGGACAGCCAACATCCTGCTTCTATCACAAGTTGTTACTAGACAAGAGATCCCTGGTGGATGCCACGTCCTGCTACACAGGAGGGTGAAACCCATCTGACCAAGGGGTCAAATCCCTTTCTGACCCCAAACCTGGTGTCAGTCTGAGCCCAAGCAGCGGGGCAAGACCCTGGAGTCACTGAAAGGAGGAAGGGGAGCAGTGTTGGTCCCAGCTGGAGCCTGGGCAAAACTCAGTTGTGCTCTCAACTCGAGCTGCTGCCAGCACCCAGTGCTGATGGGAGAGGCTTGGAGAGTCCCAGCACACTGAGAAAGGAGGTTAGAAGAAGCCAGACGCTGGGCAGCTCCTCACACCGCTGTGCTGGACCTAGAGCATCCTCCTCTCAGGCTGGGGAGGCTGCAGTGCCCACCAGGGAGTGGTGCTTGGCACCCCAAGCAAGGCTCTGTTGCACCTCTGCTCTACTGGAAGCCATGGCGGCACCAGCTGCTTCCTGGGCCTGGGGCTCAAAGCCTGCATCTGGGGCTGGCCTGGGGAGGTGGCTGAGATGTGGCCTCACAGCCCAGGGGTTGGTCTTCCTGGGTCAGTGCCACTGCCTCTGGAGTTGGCCCAAGCACTGCCGCTCCCCTGGCCTTGAGCAGGGACCTGCCTTGGGACCACCACCAGGTAGGGCAGGAGCTCTGTGAGAAGTGGGTTGCAGTGGCATTGTGCCCCAGTGCATTGCATTGCCTCCTGCAGTGTTGGCCCCCTGCAGCCCGCAGCCCGAGCCCTAAACCCCAGCCCGCAAGCCCCCCAACCCCCTGCCCCAAACCTCGAAGCTCATTCACTAGCTCCCAGCTGCTGCCCCCATCTTTGCCCCATGTCCAAGCCCGCTGCTCTCCACTTAGGGTGACCACAGGTCCCTAATTGGGCAGGACAGTCCTGAAATGGGAGCCTCAAGTCCCAGTCGCAGGCTGCATGACTGTGGGACAGTATTTGTCCCAGAGTTTCAGTATTGTGCAGGGATCCAGGTTTGGGAAGCAGCCTGCAGGCTGCTTGGGGCTGCCAGGAGAGGGACGCATGGGGCAACATGGGCATGTGCACACCTACACATATGCACATGGCTGGGAATACAGCCAGGCAATGTGGAAAGCAGCACCTTGCAGGTGACTTTATGGGGAAGGGGACATAGGGGGCCAGATTGAAGCTCTCGTGCTGAAGGAGGGAGTGGGACAGGGCCTGGGGCTGGAGGCACTGCCCAGGTTGGGGCAGCGTGGGGAATGGGAAGGAGACACATGAGTCTCATGGCAGGGGGACAGGGGAGGGGGACGAGTGGGTATGGCTCTCCAGCACTGTGCACACTCCCCAGGGGGGCATGTGGCCCCCAAGATCTGTGGACGGGGCAGGAGTGGATGCAGGATGCCCACTGAAGGCTTATGGCTCCCTGCCTTGCTCCCTTCCCTTGAGATTCCAGTGCCACTATTGTGAGGTGCCCCCTCCCTGCCTGGCAGCAGTGGTCGCAGTAGCATGGAGTAGTTTCCCCCACTTCTCCTTGGTGGGCATGGGATGCACAGCTGGCACGGGGCTCCTGAGGGAAAAGCAGAAGGGCGGGTAGCCTGCATCTGCCCCCGCTCTGCTTGGCTCTGCTCTGGCATGCTGCTGGGAGAGTGGGGTGGGGCAGGGTTGGGGGCAGAGGCAGGCATGTCTCCTTCATTTCCATTTTGAAAAGGTTGTCACCCCAGCTTCCACCTCAAGCCCTTGGCTCCAAACGTCCGGCCTCAGCCCCTAGCTCCCATCTGCTGTCCCCAGCTCCCACACCCCCATCCTCAAGCCCCCATCTCTCATCTCCCAGCCCCCAGCCTCAGCTGGAATTTCCCTCTGGCCCCCAGTCTGTTCCTTTCATTTCCTGACCCCTCATTCACATCTGAGAGAAGTCAGTATTAAATCCCTAGTGACTGTGTCTCATCACTATTTTGTATTTTGCAACCCCACTTACCTGCCCCTGTCCAGGCAAGGAGGCGGAGCAGGAAGAGAGGAGGCAGCATGCTCTGGGGAGCAACTCTCATGGGGATCCAAGGGCTGATTGTAGCTGCTGGTGCAATTGCTCCTATGCCTCCCAGCCAGGCGGAGGAGAGGAAGTGCCTGAGTATATTAAAATGCTCCCAGTGCCTGGGGTGCACCCCTAGGTCTCTCCGACATCATCTAGTTTCCCTGCGGCCCTGTCCAGGCCAATCAGGGGGGCATGGAGTCTGTGTCACTGTGACCCCTGGTACCGGGCTGGGTTGAGGGGCTCTACAGGCTTTGGAGGGGCTTCTGCAAGTTCCTGCTTTGAGCACTTGCTGTTGGTGCCCCAGACTGGGTTCCCCGCCTTTTCCCCATGGTTTCTCTTCCCCTTTCACTTCCCCCATCCTCCACAGTGTTGTTCTGCACTGCTGGGGGGCGGGCGGGTGGGAGGAGGGGTACCATGCAGTGAATCCCCCCTGTTCCCCACAGCATGCCACTCCCCCTCCTTGGGGCCAGGAAGGGGTCATTGAGGAAGAGGGTATAAAGCAGGGGAGTCTGGGAGGCAGGCAGGTGGGTAGGATCCTGGTTAGAGCTGGATTCTCTTTATCTTTTTGGTTTTTATTTCCTTTCCTTTTTCTTTGTCCTCTCACATGTCTGTCAGCCTGGTTGTCCTGGGTTACTGCGTAGGTGGGGGCTTCAGGTAAGAGGGTGTGGATTTAACATCTCTGTTTGGAGGTGTGACCTCAAGACGCAGAGTCAGGGCCTTAAGCGCCTGTCACTCCTCTAGGTACTGTGATGTTTTTCAAAGTGCTGCAAATGTCAGACTTTCCCAGGCTGGGGAAGATGTGGGGGTGGGTGGAGGGGGAAGATAGGCAGGAGCTTGCGGGAGGGTGAAGGCCTATCCCTTGGGCTGGTGGGGATCAGTGTGCTTGCCCCCCAGTGCCAGGGGAGGCTGTGGCCTGAAGCCTTCACTGCTGGAGGGCACGACCCACCTGGACATCTGGGTCCACAGGCCATAAGCTGGGCATCTCCCAGTGCTGTTGCCAGCCAACAGCCAGCAAAAGGAAGCAGGACTAGGTGGCAGAAGGGAGCTCCAGCTTCAGCAAAAGGCCCCAGATGAGGAACTTGCTGTTGCACCCGCCCTAGCATCTCCTTCCCACTCCCTCTTGCAGGGAGAGGCTGGAGGTGAGTGTCAGTCCCTTGTAGCATCAGTCTCTCGTGGCCGTGGCCTGGGGATTGGGTAGCATCAGCACTGGCCATGCAGAACCTGGCTTTAGGACAAGTCCCACCGTGGGTAGCAAACTCCCAGCAGCTGGCTGGAACCCCCAAGTGCCACCCAATGGGGTCTGACCCCAGAGGAGCAAGAGGTGGGGGGTGGATCCTGGCTGGGTGAGTGCTGCTGGATACCAGCCACCCCACAAGGTAGTCTGAGGCCTCCCACTTGTGGCCGATGGTGGAATAGCCTGATAGCTCTGGTACCTCAGCTTGCATGGCCATGGGGGGATAGGGATGGGGACAGGGTCCTGCCAGACATCAGATCTTGCTGACCATTGCCTTCATCCCTGTGATGGCCCCTGGATCTTCCCACCACATGGCTCCTCCCCTGCCTTCTTCCAGGCCTTGCCCTCCCTGTGACAGCCCTGAGCCTCATGGCTGTGGGGTGGGGTGGGATGACAGTGGAGTTTCCCTACCTCCTTTCCCCATATTAAAAGCAGCTGATTTTGCAATGATATCATCTGTCCCCTTGTTCTGGTGTTAGGGCAGGAAGCTCTGCTCCTCTTCCTCCTTTCAGTCCCAATTTGTTGTCCTCTATTGTGACCCCTCTTGTCATCATGGTTGGTAACTGTATGTCTCCCAGTGAGATTTGTAAAACAAAATCTCACCTTCTTGTGCATCTTCACATTACCTCCTGTTCTGTCACTGTCCGTCCTTTTTGCATCTGAGCCAACGTTCACCTGAATTAATATAAATGCATCTGTGTGCAGGTTTCTAGCCAGAGCCAAGAACAGACTGCAGGGCTGTGAAATGGAAGAGACATTGCCAGGCCTGGCTAACAGACAGCAACATTGCATAAGAAGTCATAGCTTGGTTAATGGAGCATCAAGTCCATTGAAAAAGGAGAGGGCTGTTTACAACTGTGGAGTGAGGAGAGATTAGCAGTAATCAGGGAGATGACAGTAAGCCATGATGTCAATGGGCTGCCTCAGTGCTGCCTGGATGGAAAGGCTGATGCCCCCTGATTTTCACAGGTCTCACTTTGAAATGTATAGAGATGCACCAATACATCAGTGCCATATTGGATCATCACCAATATAGGAAAAAATTGACAGAATCAGAAATCGGCTTTTTTTGCCCAATGTGGCTGATAATGTGGCCAATAAATGCCCCATGGACGCACACAGCCTCAGCATGCATGTGGCCAGGAGTGCAGCCTGGAAGCTTGGAAAGCAACATTGGCTGGTAAGTCTGTTGTAGGGGAAGGGTGGGGGGAGGGAAGGGGCATGGGATGGAGCAAGGCCCTGTGCCCCTGGATATTTTTGTGGGGAGGGGTGGACTGCCACTGTGGGCTGGGACCGGCGGCTATGCGAGACTTCCTGGCAGAGGGCGCTGGGCCAGGTTGTGCTTGGGGCGGGTGGTGATGGTGCTGGGAGGGAGGGTTAGGGGTCTTATGGCGAATTTTGGGATGGCTGCAGCCCCACTCCCTGTAAGCCCACTCTGAGTGCTGCCACTGCCTGCCCCAAATGCAGCGCAGCCCTGCCATCCCACTGGGAAGAGCCTGGTGCAACTCCTGGCCCCAGCCTGCAGCAGGCAGCTTGCCCCCACCTGCTCCCTGTGCAGATCTTGGGGCTAATGCCCCCCATGCCCTCCCAGGGTGCATGCAGGGTGGGAGCCGCCCCGCCCCCCCCACACCTCTCAGATGAGCCGCTTGCGGCGCTGTCCTGCACCCCACCGCACCTCAGCCTAGCATTGCCTGCCCTAGCCCCACTCCCTACCCCACCGCGGGAGCCTCAATCTGCCCCACCACCACACTCCTTCCCCCACACCAGACTTCCCAGCCCAATGATGGTCTCCAAGCTGCCAAGCTGTATATCATAATCAGATTGGTATCAGCTGATATGGCTCCTTAAAAATTGGCCGTTGGTTTTGGCCCAAATAATTTCTATTGGTTCACACCTAGAAATATAGCTTCCTGCTGCCTTAGGTTCCATCAGACTGTCTACTGCCTGCAGTTTGACTCTCTTGTCCATAGATTCATAGATTCATAGATGTTAGGGTCGGAAGGGACCTCAATAGATCATCGAGTCCGACCCCCTGCATAGGCAGAAAGAGTGCTGGGTCTAGATGACCCCAGCTAGATACTCATCTAACCTCCTCTTGAAGACCCCCAGGGGAGGGGAGAGCACCACCTCCCTTGGGAGCCCGTTCCAGACCTTGGCCACTCGAACTGTGAAGAAGTTCTTCCTAATGTCCAATCTAAATCTGCTCTCTGCTAGCTTGTGGCCATTATTTCTTGTAACCCCCGGGGGCGCCTTGGTGAATAAAACCTCACCAATTCCCTTCTGTGCCCCCGTGATGAACTTATAGCCAGCCACAAGGTCGCCTCTCAACCTTCTCTTGCGGAGGCTAAAAAGGTCCAGGTTCTCTAGTCTCTCCTCATAGGGCTTGGTCTGCAAGCCCTTAACCATACGAGTGGCCCTTCTCTGGACCCTCTCCAGGTTATCCGCATCCCTCTTGAAGTGCGGCGCCCAGAATTGCACGCAGTACTCCAACTGCGGTCTGACCAGCGCCTGATCTATTCGTCATGCATCTGCTGATGCAGGATAAAGTGCCATTGGCTTTTCTGATGGCTTCGTCACACTGCCGACTCATGTTCATCTTGGAGTCCACTAGGACTCCAAGATCCCTTTCCACTTCCGGGCCACCCAGCAGGTCATTCCCTAGGCTGTAGGTGTGCTGGACATTTTTCCTCCCTAGGTGCAGCACTTTGCATTTCTCCTTGTTGAACTGCATTCTGTTGTTTTCTGCCCACTTGTCCAACCTGTCCAGGTCTGCTTGCAGCTGTTCCCTGCCCTCCGGCGTGTCCACATCTCCCCATAGCTTTGTGTCATCTGCAAACCTGGACAGAGTACA